GGGGTTGGTGTCCCCCCCCCCCCCCCCCCCCGCCATTTTAGGTTTCAGTTCTCAGTTTCCAGGGAGGAGAATGTTTATGACTATCTCTTTACCTGAGTAGCTGAAACTATTTCCTTTTTCCAGGGAGAGATTGGCAGTTAATTGTAGAAAAGGACAGGTTCTCAGGAAGACAGGAAAGGGAATGCAATCAAGAAGTGTGAACTTTTTCCAGCAGTGTGTTTTAGTTTAGTTTGGCCACTGGTGTGTGAAGAGAAGAATGATTTCTGTGAATAGCTTCGTGGCTGTCAGCCTTTTGCCTACCATATTATCAATCAACTTATCACAGCTGAGGTTAGACATGTAATTTCAAATAAATAAATAAATAGACAAATAAATAAATAAACAAACCGATAAATAAATAGCTAAATTAAAAGAGAAGGAGAAAGGGGGAGAGCAAAAGCATCTGCATGCTAGATTGTGGCATCTGCTGTAGGACCTACAGAGCAGAAATTATATGAGGCTCATCTTCTTTCCAAAATCTCATTTGTTCAGATAATTGCTTTTGGGAAAGAATCTCGCTTTGAAGTTTTGTAGCATTTTTCTTTTTCTAATAATGGGAAGGAAAACAGTTTATATATGAAAGTGCTTTTCTGGGAGAAGCAGGCAGTGCTGCCAGTGGTGTTCCGGGGTAAGACCTGTGATCTTATTTGAATGGATTATGGATTATCTCGTGGTAGATAACTCTCTTCATAGAAAATGAGCTATCTTACTAGTCCATTTGACTTTATGTTCATTTGCCTTCGTTTACAGGGACCATATTTATACCGTTGATATGGACACATCACATACAGAAGAAATTTATTTTAGCAAAGTAAGTAGCTTTTATCATCATCCAAAAAGAAAGGACACTAGAACAAACTTCAAATAAATAGGAAGATGGTATTGTTTCAAACCACTTGCCCGTGCTGCTGTAGAAACTGTAATAAGCAAGTAAGATGGCATTGCTAATCATATTTGAGGAAAGCTAGAATAGCAATCATGTCCTCTGTGAATTTCTGATAAGTGATTTAGCTGGGCTGATAAGTAATCTTTACTGAAATACAGTGAAGTCCCTGATGGAACATCTGTCAAACATCTATTCATTATATTCAGCAGTTTTCTGTAACAGCTATACTATCCCAATTAAGAATGCTGGAACTTTCATCATTAAAAGCCAGTGCTATTTACATATTTTCATGCACGCAAATTTTATTCACTCATGCAAGTACTCACTAAATAAAATCTTGTTATAACGTCACTTTGTAGATATATTCACATTATCTCCATGGGAAGTTTCATTCAACCTAAGAAGAGCTTTGTCTGCATTACCATATTGTGTATTGACATAAACATACTAGAAATACTCTCCCTTCAGCTCCTTTGCATTGCATTCATACTGTGCAATATGTGCCAAATACAGCCTTGGTCCAGCAGAAAATCATATGAATTTGGACACTGGATTAATCCACTGTAGGAGGGCAGAGTATTTCATTGTAAGTATGAGTGATGTTGAAGGTGAGCTTATGACCATCAGAAGCGAGGGTACAAGCTTGTAATGGAAATAAACAGTCATGGTTACTCTTTCAGCTTGGAGCCCTTCGTGAATGCACAGTGTCTCAGATTACTGATGGGAAACGCTGTCAGGACTATCGTGGCAATAGTGCCTAAGGCATCACTAACTTAGGCTATATGAAGTTTTATTATAATTAATCAGCCTACCACATTTGACCACTCCTGAAACTCATTACAAAAATATCCAGGCTGGGATTTGCCTGTAAATGTTCTGGAGAAAGAGTGTTAGCAGATAAAGTCATCAGTGTCTTGATAGATAGAAGGCTTCCTGAGCCTGTTAGCTGAATTGAAGAGGTAAGAATTACGTGAATTTGATTTCTTTGCTAAGCTAAAATATTATCTTCCAGAATACGTATTTTATTTAGAATCCAGTTAGAGTTTCTAGTCCATAAATGTTTATTCTGATTTGCAGAACAATATCAGGTTAAAAGAACAGAGGATTTAGTGCTTTCAAGAAAAATGCACATATTTTTGCAAGCTGGCCTATTGCTAAATTCTGTTGGGTTAAGCTTTAAAAAAAAAGGGATACATTTCTAGTCTAATGAATAGATGGCAATACAAAATTAAGTGCATGCTCCACATCACTGATCTTTCATTGTTGCGGTGAATTAATCACAGAGAAAGGGTGCAGAAAGCTTTCAATAAATATATGTTCAACAGCTAGTCTCCCTAAGGGACTTACACTTCTGTAATCAAATGCAACAACCTCTGGGCTCTAATTGATTTCTTTCTTGATCCTTGTAGAAATTGACATGGAAATCTAGACAAGCTGATGTAGACACATGCAGAATGAAGGGGAAACATAAGGTAGGCAATTTTCATTTCTTCTGCATCTGCCACTTTAGTTTAGTTGCTTCACTATTATCTCAGGCTGCTGCCTGTGATGTGGAATGGATCATGCCATTCACTTCTTGCCAGTAATTGCTTTTTCCATCAACTTACTGAAGGCTTTAATTTGCAAAAATAGTTTACTTTTAATGTGATAAAACATTACAACAGGAGACACAGGAATATCCTGAAATACTTAAGGCACTGAGGTTTTTGGACATAATGCTTAGCGTACTGATTTTGCTTACCACTTGTCTCAAAAACTAAGTGCTGCTGTCCATCCTCCTGAAGGAATTTACCGGTAACTTTGTGTAAAGCATCAGAAAGCTTGAATGTGTACAGATGTTGAAGGACTGTTTCTCACACCAATTTTAGCCTACTGTATGTAACCTGTGACTAGCATATGTGGTATCAGAACTAGGTGTAGTATCTTTGATTCTTTACATCTGCTTCCCCTTCTAGTTACGGATGCTTAATGCCAATACATTGCACTGGTAATGCTACTGTCTTAAGCAATGTAGGTGAGAGGAAGATCAGATTTTTCATTCTTGGGGAAAGCAACAGCTTTAAAACAGAATTCACCTATGTGAACAATAGCAAAATCTGAGCTATCAATATAATATCTTCAGTTCTTTGTAACCATTTTTAAACCACTAGAATATAAAGCAATTACATCTTGCTCATTGTCAGTTAAACATAGATGAAATAAAGCTGAGAATATCACAGTGGCTACCAGCCAGTTTCATTTTAGACCTGACAATGAAATATCATGGCATAAAAATAAAACCAAACACTCAAAATGCAGTAGTTGAAATTCTTTTTATTATTTTTCTTCAGGATGAGTGTCATAATTTTATTAAGGTTCTCCTAAAAAGAAATGAGGATACACTGTTTATCTGTGGAACAAATGCATTCAACCCTTCTTGCAGGAACTACAAGGTATGTGATCTGTTTGTGGGATTTCATTTATGCCTTGTCTTTCTGTTGGATTTATTGTGACTCTGCTGGCAGCAGCATGAGGTTGTCATTCAACAGTGCATCATTCAACTCTGTAGCATTTATCCCCACTTGTTTCAGTGCTACAGAGCTCAGTATTGACTGTATTTCTGAGGATTTCTCAGGCTGATTACCTACCTCTTTTCAACTCCTGCACGTCAAGAGTTTATTGCTAGTTTGTATTGCCCTCCACAGATGCAGAGTCCTTCAGATCTCTGCCTGGGTATGCGGTTACTCATCAGAAAGTTCCTCAGCTTGTTACTGACACCCACATCAAGTCATAGACTTATGCCAAGGCTTGCCTCTGGAGTAGCACATTTTAAATGTCGCTGTTGTACTGTTCTCAATACCAAAGCCAGTACTTAAGACACTTGAGGGCTTAGCACAGCAAACCCTGAGAAGATTAGTGCTGGGCACCCAGCAGATAGCTATGGAGATCCCATGGCATAGTGTGCTGTGGAAGTGATTGACAGCAGATCTCCACAGGGAAAGGTACAGCAAGAGGGTGATGTATTCCTCACTAGCTGAGAATCTGCAAAGCCAAAACATTATCCTGAGCAGTGTAGAAAAGTGTGCTGGTCTGTGGATGCTCAACATTAATTCCCTGATCCCAGATTCTTCCTTTGACATAGTGTATCCTGGTTATCTGCATTTATTCAAATATTTCCCATTGTCTCAGGCTTGCAGGGCCTGGGGGGATGTCTCTGAAGTAACTTTGAAATTAATTTACTAAGGCCCTTTTAATATACAGACTCTGCTTTTCCAGGCACTGCTGTGTCCCACAGGTCATTTCTCATCCTTCTTTAGGAAAAAGAAAATTCAGCTTTGATAATGCTCTTTCTGACAAAGTCACAGCACAATTTTCATTCATTTCACTGGGCTCAGAGTTATTGTAAGAAAAAAACCAAACCAGAGTAAAGACATTAACATCCAGGAAATCGACTTCCTTAGTGGTATTTGCTGCGACTGCTGCTCTTCCTTGCTTTTTCTGCAATGCTGCTTTAACTTGTTTAGCCACTGTGATGGCTATAGTTCTAGGAAACACAGAAAAGAAGTTCAGAGTAGTCTTTTATTTCCATCTGTGAAGGAAGAATCAAATTTGAATAAAAATACAAGCCTGTGTCATGGTAATTGTGTGGTGCAGATAGCTGCTTTGTTAACAGCCCTTTCTTCTTTTCTTGCATTCTGCTCCTAGCATGCAATGAAGCTTCTTGGTCTCAATGCTGTATTTAGTCTTCTAGAACAGCTCATAATTTTTTAGCTCTTAATGCCATTAATGTAGCTAACAAACCTCAACCAGACCCCTTGCTAGAAAGCTGTCTTTCAATACAGCCACAGATTTCCTTGGCATCCTGATGGGAGGCATATAAATGGCCCTTCTTATCCTTACTGCAGAAGTCTCATTCACTGTGATGCATGGCCTCTGCACACTGCTTCACCTGTTGCTGAGCTGCAGGGTCTGGGTAATGGTACCTCTGGAAGTCAGCAAAGGTGTCTCCAGCACCTGCTCTGGCCTTTCCTCCACGTATTTCTGCATTATGTAGAAAGACAACTAAAGTTGTGCCAAGTAGAAAACAGGGCTATTCCTCTACCCTACCAGTGGCAGTGTGGATGAGCCTGAGGTGTGGGGCTTGGTGAACCAAAAGTTGCTTAGGACTGTAACTAGTTTCCTTTCACTATCATGTGAAATGCTTTCTAGCCCTTGAATAGACACAACTAATTCCCTTCCGGGTGGGTTCTGACAGGAGGGATACATGACAGAAAACAAATGGTGACCATTGGAGGACTTGGCTGCTATAACATGCAAGCTAAAAGTTTATTGGAGTAGTTGATGGTGCCAGGTGGGTTATTTTTCATGCTCTGTGAATTTGTATTGTATGTGATTTATACAGTATGAGCTGATGACCTTACTTGAATATGCTAGAAAGATTCTTATTCCCAAAATACGATAGTGTAAGAACTTAAAGAGGTAAGATCTGTACCTTTCCCCCGTAGCTCACTAAACCCTCTTGAACTTAGTGTAAAGTTGACCTGTACATTTGTATGATTATCAGTGCTCAGGGTGAATTTATTTCCCAGGATTTACACTTAAGCCTCAGATTTTACAGTTCCCGCACAGATTAATTCTTGCCTGATGGTAAGAGGATTTCTCCATGACACAGACTCAACTGATAGAGTAAGACTTGAAGAGCATCCTTCTGAGTATGCAAATCAAGGAAGAGAGCACCACTGTTGAGACTAGAGCAGAAGGATCTCTGGACTTTGGGGAGAAAAATGCACACACAGATAATTGTCCTAATGTTTCTTCTGACTGGTGTTGCTTGCAGTCTTTTCTGTGTATAAGAGTGCTTCTGTTGGATCACTGTTGAGGATAAATTTTGAATCCTTGCCAGAACCACAGACCACATAGCCTGCTACAGTTCAACAGGAAGCTTGTGTACAGATAAAATATAGACTGAAGACTTTTGTAAAATGTGTCGGGGTAAGAGTGGTTAGCTCTAAAAGATTGCCTGACTTACTGGATGCACTTTTTCCAGGTTGATTTTATTTAACACCATGATTTTTGCTGGGTTTTTAACTCATAGTAAGAGCATAGTTAGAGAAAGCTCCTTCGTCCCTGCCCGGAAAAGAAGAATCACTGTCACAAGTCTCATCCTGGGTAACAAGTTATTTTTCTCTCTAAGGAGCTCCCTTTCATTTTTCAGATGGATACCCTGGAAGTTCTGGGAGATGAATTCAGTGGGATGGCCAGGTGCCCCTATGATGCAAAGCATGCCAACGTTGCGTTGTTTGCAGGTAAAATGACAGAGATAAATATTTTCTTTCTGTCCTGCAGCCCAGGCTTGTCATAGCACTCTGTCTCTTGAGTCCAGAATGTGAAAATCTAAGATATGGCAAAGGGAGTGAATAATGACTAAAAACAAGGGGCATAAGGAAATCACTTGCACAGAAACCTCGCCTTCTCTAGGATTAGCTTCACTATCATAAACACTACCTGAAGCCTGAGTTTCCTGATTCAATATTTCAGTATTTCTTGGATTGGTGATAATATTATGCCAGACCAGTGTGAGGCACCATTTCTAGCTGCATCCAGCTTCTGCAGAAGTCAAGGAAAGTCAAGGTTTATGTGAACTTTAATGAGAGGTGGGCGGGACATGGCAGGGGGCTTGGAACTAGATGATCTTAAGGTCTTTTCCATCTTTAACTATTCTATGATTCTATTACTATAAGGGTGGTGAGGCACTGGAATGGGTTGCCCGAGGAAGTTGTGAATGCTCCATCCCTGGCAGTGTTCAAGGCCAGGTTGGACGGGGTCTTGAGTAACATGGTTTATTGTGAGGTGTCCCTGCCCATGGCAGGGGGGTTGGAATTAGATGATCTTAAGGTCCTTTCGAACCCTAACTATTCTATGATTCTATGACATGCTCTTTAACAGCTCTAAGCTTAAGTTAAACTTCATAATAAAAGGAAGTTAAGTAACATGCTGTAATGTGCCTTTTTCTTACTCTAGAAGGAAAGGGAAAGTGATTTTATTTTAAAGCAGAAAACATCTCAGTGTGGTGTTACCGGTTGTTGCAGACAACAAAGAAAAATGTGTTGGTTAATAATGAATTATGCTGCATGCAGCAGAATACAGTTAACTCTGGTTTCTACTATAATAGTTAAGAAAAGTGAGTGATTATTAATGGAGTTGATTTGGGCTGTTGATTGTGTGGTATTTTTGTACCTCTCCTCAGGAAGTCCTGATTAAATTGTTTCTTTATTGAACTTCTCTTGGTGTGAACCATGCTGATCTTTTCTTATCTTGTAAAGTAGGTGGTAAAGATAGTACCAAAGTCAGACATGATAATGCCAGTCCTCTTCAGTATGTATGATACTAGAAAGCAGAGCTTGGGTGCTCACATGGAAATACTTTAGCCAGTCCTCTGAAGATTTAAGAGTGTGTGAGTGTTTCAGCCACTCTCAAGTGAATCTGTGGCTGAAGAGCTGTAGTAAGCACTACTGTGTTTGAGGTGGCATCATCTGCCTCAGGAGAGATTTTATAGCAGATTGCATTTTTTTTTTCTTTTTTACTCTTTAAAAAAGTGTAAATAAATGGGTCCTTTTGTTTCAAAATGCTGATGATGATGATGGTGGTAATACGTAGTTTCTTAATTCCAGTCAAAAGAACATAAAGTAGAAATTCTCTGATTATAGCAGGTAATTCATAAACCATGGAAAGAGACACCTTCAGAGAAAGATTTATCCCATGTGTCTCAGATTCCCTATCCTTAGGGCTGTCTGAACAACCTTTCAGAAGAGCAGTTCTTACAGTACTGGCCAAGAAAGTGTTTATGACCAGCTTACTGTAAACATTTACTTTACATGCAGCTGAAGTTTGGTAAGATGACTCCCAGTCTGTCACTGAAGAAGTCCTCGCAGGATTGGAAAATAAAAAAATATTTGTAGAAATGATCATGCTCTTTCACGGTGATTCAGAGTAAATGTGATACTGTTCAAATACATTCTCGTAGAATATACCCTGTAAATCTGCTTGCCTCAGAAAATCACCATTTTATATGCCATACACATTGATACTCATGGTAACTCTTTGGGAGTGCAGCGAAAAGCAGTTTCAGAGCAGTTTAGGGCACTAGTCCAGCTCATCTGAGTCTGTTGGGTGCACTTACATGAATATGGCTCTTCTTGCAGTCTGTAGCTATTACAGCTGATATGCGCAAATTGTGATTGGTCACATGGTCTTCAGGAACTTGGCAGGAAAAGAAAAGAAAGTGTGATTGTATTGTTATGAGTTCAGACATCCATATCTAAACAATTCCGCTTTTTATTCTATTTTAAAATTGTTTTTACTATCTGCTTTTTTTTTTTTTGTAGTTATTTTTTCTGTTTTGCTAAGAGAAAAAGACCATTTTTAAATAGCCAAATAATGATGGGAAATGTAGGGGCTCAGAACAAAGATTACAGCCCTGCAAATAAAAAAAGAGTCTGATTTTAAACTCTTGAGCTGAAACAAAAGATTGTCTGTAAGTGCAATGGGGAGATCTTTACCAATAGCAGCCTCTCTGCTTTCTGCTGGGTATGTCCTCAGTGCTGGTGATCTCAAGGCCCAGCACACAACATAATCTCTGTCAAAAGAGATGGCGTCCATTGTGATTTTTATGTAGACACAACAGAGTTGTGTCCTCATGCTGCAATGCTTGCGCTCCTACCAGACATCAAGTTCCAAGATCTGTCTCACACATGAAAACAGCCCTGTACAGCTACCATGACCCGCAAACTGATTAGACAACAAATGGAATTTCAAAATGTTGGAACTAATGCTTTTGCCTTCTAACAGCTTTGCATTTTTTGGTTGTCCTTGGCGTGCCATTTTTTAGACCCCTTTAATTGCTTGTCCTTCAGTTATTTAAGAGAGAGGAATGCATAATTCATGCAGAAAATGCCTGAAACACGTTTTAGAAAAGAAACATAGATAGGCAGTCCTCCTTCATCTCTTTGCATCCCTGTTTCGCCTGGGGTCTGTGCATGCTGTTTAATTTTTTGCTAGTGATCTTTGGCAGAGGAGGAGTGCTCTCAAAGGGAGAAATTTGCATAAGTGTCAATTAGCTGCAGTCCATAAGACCCGTCTGGCTTGCCCTCCCAGTTAAAACTAACAGTTCTGTCATGGTTTCCCCGTATTTGTTTTGCTCACAAACATAGGCAGAATTTATGAGAATTGAACCAGAAGCGTGTGCAGGGAAACTGAACACGGTATGACTTACCTAAGCTGGAGAAAAATTACCCATAAGGTTTTTTTCTCCCATGGCATGCCTCTGAAATAACAGTTTTGAAAATTGGTGACATCCTTGTTCAGTGCTCAGACCCCTTTACCTAACTGAATTTTTTCCCTGAATGTTCCTAAGGAGATTGCGATGATACTGTTTGCCCCATCTCATTTGACTGATGAGAGAAACCAATTACATTGTTTCAAGTGTGCCTCCCCTCTTGTTTCTTCTTTCCTTTCTCCCCAGAGGGAAAGCTGTATTCTGCCACAGTGACCGACTTCCTTGCAATAGATGCAGTCATATACCGGAGCCTTGGAGACAGCCCAACTCTGCGGACAGTTAAACATGACTCAAAGTGGTTGAAAGGTAGATAAACAAACAAAACGAAAAATGCAGCATCCCTGATGAGAGTCTTGTATTCCTGACAGACCTCTGTGTCATTTCATTTCACCACCGCTTTCTGGCAGAAAGAAGCAACTAGATTACATCTCATACTTGTACTGATCTGTTTATCTCTCTCCTTCTCCTGACCCCAAGTTACTGGATCTGACAGAAACTGTGAGCAGGGTAGATCACAACATATACCTCAGCAAGCTTTCCAAGCTGAAATACATCAGCTTACAGCTGTTGGATATAAAGGTTGGAACTTGCAGACCTAGGTGTGCTTGGACTGTGTTTGAAAATATTCTTGCCGCAGGAGTGTATATGGTAACAGTCAAGGCTTCATGAAGCATAGCGGGTTTGTCCTGTAACATTGAGATTCATCAATGAAAATAAAATTATGGGAATACTGCATAAAACCTTTCTTTTATGGTTCTTAGAGACTGTACAGCTGCCATTGAATTAGGCAATTTCTGTGCTCTAAATGCTCTCATTGTTAAGAACGGTGCTGTTTAGCTTCATGTAGGCGTTATGAATAGTTAGCATTTGGAATGATTTTAACAGTGAGCAAAACCATAGTTTGAAGTCTTTTTCTGTGTGCAGAAATGTTTTGCCAGGTGTCAACTTTAGCTGTCCCACTTTGCTTGCTGCTGCAGAGACGTGTCGGCAGAAACAGTTACACAGTTTGTTTTTCCCTCCGCACATAGCCTGCATGCCATGAAGAGCACTGCTTGCACCCCTCAGGCATACCACTATATATATTGCCTCTTTACCTTTCCTCATGCTCCATGCAGGGCAGACGTATTAGTGGCAAACACTTAAATAACTTTCAGTTATGTTGTCACAGGCTTGTCCCCAGCTGTCCTGTCCCCAGGCAGCGATTCTTCTACAGTGCTGATGTTGCTGGTTCTGGAAACTGAGCAAACTTGCCTGATGTGGGCATTTCACCTTTGGGTGTTTAGTGTGAATGTATTTGGCTTCTCTTTGCATGCTATATGCTGTACATGGTGCCTAAATAGGATGTCTTGGGTTTTTTCCTAGAACCGTACTTTGTCCAGGCAGTGGACTATGGCAATTACATTTACTTCTTCTTCCGAGAAATAGCAGTGGAGTACAACAGCATGGGAAAGGTAAGGGCAAAAATATTGCCTTGAATGACTTTGTCAGATTCAGGAGGAGGAAAACATATGCTGTTCTTGGACCAATGCTGTTAGCAGTGACCTTGAAATGAGAACCATAAATCATGATGACAAGGTCACCATTTTGAGAAGATTCCTATCGCTTAAGCCAAAAGGTTGGTTGGAGTGAAACATTTCAGTGCCTTGAAAAGAAACAGGGTGGTTTCTCTACAGTGATGGTGTATACTGGAATCTCTTTTCTAAAATCTTAAAACATACAAGGCAAATGTAGTTACTTCAGTTTAGTAGGAATTCGTTAGATTTCCAGAGCAGGGATATATTTTTCTTTAAGAAACCTGATTGGAGTGCTGAATAAACAGGGACAGGCATTCTGTGCTCTGCCATTCTGCAAAGAATAATTAAACACTTTCTGCATTTTTGCTAATTTCACAATAGCTTTCTGACTAAGCAGTCAGAAGAGCTGACCAAGGTCACAAAGGTGGAGGGCAGGAATAAAAGCCCAGTGAGATCTGCATAGGTTTTAAGTGCTGAAAACATAAATGTCAGAGCAGGCAGCGTGGGTTGCAGGGATTGTGAATATAAAATGTGCTTTTGTTTGGGGAAATAGAAAGCTAAGCAGTCTGCATGGAAATGAGTTTTATATGGGTTGAGGACAGATCTCCTGAAGGATTTATGACTGTATAGTAAATGCTTCAGCCTTATCTTTTATAGCACACTGTTCTAAAGCTTAATTTTTCTCTGTTTCAGATTATGGAAACGTGGGATTAAATTAAACACCTTGTTGTAAAAGCAGAATTCCAACAAAATCTTTAGTCCAAACAAATGTTCATTTCATCCATTATTTTTGCTCTGCTCCTTCTAGGTAGTTTTCCCAAGGGTGGCTCAGGTTTGCAAAAATGACATGGGAGGATCTCAGAGAGTGCTGGAAAAACAGTGGACTTCCTTTCTCAAGGCTCGTTTGAACTGCTCAGTTCCTGGCGATTCACACTTCTACTTTAACATACTCCAGGCAGTTACAGATGTTATCCATTTCAATGGTCGGGATGTTGTTTTAGCAACCTTCTCCACTCCATATAATAGGTAATAAGCACACTAACCTTTTACCTTCTGCTTCCTTCATGTTTTGCTTTTCACTGCAGTTTCTTTTTACTTTATGAAGATACAAGAAGTGGTTGCTCATACAATGTAATTATTATTTACCACATGCATACCAGTAGTTTGTGTTTCATTTTGAGATACCCTGGTATTGCTTACTACATTTTCTATCTGATAACTTAGAGCAGCTTTCAGTCATTTACTATCTGGACATGTTCCTTGGTCATACTCTCCTATATATGGGAATAATTTAGACCAGCCACCGAGAATTTTTGTAGAATGTTATTCCAAAGAGAAAACATGATTATTATTTTTCTCACAGAGAAAGGACTGGGCCTGTCCTGTTTATGTGTAAACCCCCAAGAGCCATGTTAGTACTCCTTCCGTTTATTTCATATATACCTACTGACTCTTGCATTTTCTCCTGGGACAGCCAAGAACCTAAGCTGTCCTGCTGGCTGAGGCAGAGGGTCCCCACAACATCTGAATTTCATTGTTTGTGTGGTTCCAAAAGCATCAGTTCATCTGCAAAGAATTTATTACCATTACACATTATAATGTGCTTCTCCAGAAGTTATTAGAAGAGTAGCTGTATCTAATTATTGAGGTCTCCCAGAGAAGTTAAAAAAATAGTAGCACTCTAATTAAAAAATATATTGCTGTTTCACAGAGTAATGTTTGAGCTGAAAGGGGAACTTTATTGCTGAAATTCATCTGGTTTTGCTGTAGACTCGCTATGTCTTTTAAAGCCTGACCTCAGTGAGGTCATGCACAGAACTGGCTTTAAATGAGAGTAAACCCAGGCCTGTAATGCATAATTGCTGCTTTTGACATCAAAACGCTAGGAACTGCAATGGAATAATTATGCTACCAATAGGGAATACAGAATTAAATTAAGATGATTTCTTTTTATGCAAACTGGCTTAATAAAAACAAGTGAACAAACAGAGATTCGACATCAATAAATAGGTTGTATCTTGATATAATCTCAAAACTGAAATTGTCCTCCCAGTCTGCTAGTATTTCCTGTGGCATGTTGTGAATAATACTTTTCCCTGAATTTCAAATCTAAGTACTTGGTGTTAAAATCAAGCTACTATTTTATAGGCTCCATTTTTTGTCAGATATTGAAAGGTGCATAGGTTTAGAGACACCTCATTAACAGACCTGCCTCTGACATGGGCAGATCTCTCTCATTCCTCCCCTACTGAGGAAAAGCTGCAACAAATATCTTTGATCATTGGAACAAAGCTTCAACTAGGGTGAGCTGGAAGACAGTCCCCAGCCTAATCTAAGGTCACCCAGGGCAGGAGCTAGTGACAGGGTTGTAGTGCAGTGGTTGGGCAACGGCTTGGCTGTGACGCACAGTACTCCATCCATTTGACATTATCACATGGTGGACATGCAAAATGACATCCTCAAGAGTGAAAGCTGTTGCAGTCTTCTCAATCCATTCATCACTGTGTAGTTGTGGGTTGAGCACACTTCTCAGAGCTTTTAGTTCTTTACAGCACACCTCAAGACTTTAGGGTTGTTTTTTCTTTAGGGCTTAATTCAACAAAGTGCAAAGTCTTCTAGCTGGAGTGAGTCTTGAGGTGTCTTTTAGGGTGAGGTCCTGTGTGTGACCAAGTAGACCCTTGACCAACTCTTACATCAATATACGTGTGGCTGCCTCCTTTTGAAACTCCTGTGTAGCATTACATTAATAGAGCTTTGAAGCTTCCTTCCATATAAAACACAATCTGTGGAGATCAAAGACTGATACTGTCTCCCTACTTCTTGTTTCCTTCAGTAATAATAATTTTGAAACCTTCTAATATTTAAACACTTATTTTTCTATCAATTTATATACCTTTATGAATTCAACTTTATTCTCTGTCGCAGTATTACGGTTCCTACATTTTTAATGTGGTGTATAATATCCTAGTAGCTAAAAGCAAGATTGAAAGCCCCAGCCAGCTGGGTTCATGCTATTTACCTGATAAAATCAAGCAGTGAAAGTCAGACACGAATACAGTAGTTTGTGTGTAAAAAAATGAAAGGTGGGTAAATGAATAATTCATGCTTCCAAGTGACTGACCATGGGAAACCCCTGTGCTTTTTAGAAAGTATGTAGGTAAGGATATAATTAGGTTTAGGAAGTTGCATGCAAATAATCAAAAAGCTGAAATTTACAGCTTTATGATCTAAAAATAAAATTGAATTTGCTTCTATAAGCTCTTTACACCTCATTGAGTTAAGCAAATTCCTGAGCATAATTAAATCCTTTCTTCTGGGAAAACTTGGAGATCAGGCTCTGGGAGGATGAAGTAATAACATGTAAATGCCAGCTCAGTGGTACATTGCAGCATTCTCCCAGTTTGATCAGCACCAACTTTTGGACTTTATGCAGTGTATTTTTGAGCCATGACAGGAACTGTGAGAATTCATACCGAGAGATATTGAGACTTACAAGAACTTTAATTTTTTAATGGGCTCTGAATAAGACTGACTATTACTCCTTATGCATCACCAGTGGTACCCAGAGTCCCACAGATTTTTTTCCTTTCTTCAGGATTGTTGCAATTGCTTCTTACTGTAGAGGATTTGAAACAAATTGTTCTGGCAGGAGCTGTCTGCTGATTGGTATATTTGAGCTTTTTCCATGGGGCTGGCTTTTCCTAACAATACTGAGAGGTTACAGAATTCAGGATTGAGTAGCCCGTGACAGGAAGTCTTCTATACAGCATGTTTTTCACTCAAGATCTTATGCACTGCAGAATCAGTAACAGTTTCTGGGAAATGTCACTTTGCAGCATCCCTGGCTCTGCAGTCTGTGCCTATGACATGCTTGACATTGCCAATGTATTTACTGGGAGATTCAAAGAACAAAAGTCTCCAGACTCAACGTGGACACCAGTTCCTGACGAACGAGTGCCCAAGCCCAGGTATGTTTCATGTATAGTGACATTGTTCTGTTCCTGCACACAAAACAGAGGGGTTTGATAATTTGAACAGCCTTGTAAGGTGCAGATGCAATTGAAAATTCATAATGTAACAGTGAAATAGAAGTTGAGTTGCATTTGGATCTAAGGTATGTGAGTGAGAATTTTTCCACTTAAGCAAGATTCGTGTAACATAAATCAAGCCAACGTCAGATCCAGTTGGTCAGAATAATCTTATCACATAAGAGTGGTGTGTGTTACACACCTGTTGCAAATTGGTTCAGTAATGGATATATATTATTACAAAGCCTGCATCAGTTCTGTGGTTTGCTGTTCTGCAGTAACATGCAATTAATGTACTACAGAGGAAGCATCACGGGGAGAAAAAAACAGCATTCTGTCAAAATGGAGGTTCAGTTTACCTCATTCCTCCTGTGAGTTGTTTTCCCTGCTTTCACTTCCAGCCTGTTTGCATGTGGCTCCTCTATTACACCCTCTTTGTATTTCCTACAAGCTCTCATTTTGTACAGGTTGCTGTTGACAGCCACTTGTTAACTTATTTACACCAGTGGCATTTTGCTCTGAGAATATGATATGAATGTAGATGAAGCAAATTCATTTATCTCAGTCGATCTCTACCACTTTAAAGTATGTTTTACATTGCTTGGGATATGTTAAGTAACTTCAGAAGAAAAAATTATCTGAAGCTCTGTGGTGGCAACTGAGTTTCTGCCTAAATCCAAATTTGGCCCATCATGTTTTAGAGTTGCCGAGTATAGTATTCCTGTGCTGTCTTTATTCTGAAGTTGTCACTCAAGAGAAGAGCCTGGAGGTGACTGGAAAATCTGTTAACTTCTGTGTCTGTTTTCAGTCTGAGCCTTAGTAAAGCACATGCTAGCACTGCTGCTGGATTTTCTTCTCCTTTTTGCAGTGTTTCAACAATTCATTCACACAATGGGCTCCCTTGGTAGTGCAAGGCTGCATGAGGGCTCCAAGGTCATTTCTTTGGAACTTACTTAGAGAATATTGGGAGGGAAGGGGGAAAGGAGAGAGAAATCGTCTCTTTCAGTAGAAGGAAGAAGAGAGCTGCATTAAGAGTTTGTGGAATAAGCCAATAGCAAGCTAACGGTTATGATCAAGACAGGAAAATGCAGCTCCTTCTTAGCCGCTAGTGAAGCGGTGAACACTCATGTAACATTTGGCCTTAAATCTGCTTAATAGAAATAATTATTACTTATAAGTCACGTTGAAATGCATGAGAGGCAAAAGACGCCTTTGACATAACGTGATTTTTATTTGGATATCTCTCTATAGTGCAGAAACATTAGTGCTCCTATTGATCCTAACATTTCTACGAACCATACTGGAGCCTTTCAGGGGCCTCGCTTCCCTTTTTGGCTGAGATGCACAGCAGGGTTTACTTTGTTTTACGTTTATACGATTAAACCAGTTTTGCGAATAAAGAACAGGATTAATCCTATCATGTGATTAGGATTTAGGAGGAAGTAGGCCCCCAGATTAGGTATACAAAAACGACAGGGACCATGGTGCCAAAAGGCATAGGCTGCTCCCTAGAGTTCTCTAGGAATATCACCTTATGAATCAGCGCCCCGCCAATGACTGGTGGTGCCCTTAGTTTCTCCTTCTCTCCCTCTATTGCTAATTGTATATGCAGTTACAAGACAGCCAAGCTATTTTGGGTACAAAAAGGACAACTACAGAGTCCCTACGTGTCGTGTTCATTGTGCAGCTGTGTGGGACCAGACCCACTGACCCAGCTAATCACCTTCAGTGCTATGCTACCTTCCTACATAACATTTAGATACCTAAGTTGTGAATACTTATCTAAATCTGTGTGACAGATGTGACAGGACCACTCTATGTTTTGTTCAAGTTGACATTATTCCATTGATGATAGTGGCTCTACCCGCATCAAAGCAGATGAAAACTGGACACTGCAGCATATTTATGAGTGGGTAGTCCATCTTTCCATCTCAGAGTGGCTGCAAGGCGTGAAGAATCATAATGCTGTATGAAGTGGGATCAAATGGACCCTTTGTTGGAGAAAATAACCCACAAAATATTAGTAGGTGAATTATTTTGCTTCATCCTGTGTAGAGATGATCTCTCCAGGAAGGAAGGTTAAGTTACCTGTGAAGAGCAGGGTGGATTTTAGGAATAGGGTGAGCAGATTTGCATGTAAGTTGTCAAAGAATATTTAGGTAACGTTTCAGTGAAAGCCCCCAATGTGTTACCGTATTGAAATCTCATCCAGACTGAAAAAAGGGTAAAACCTATGTTTACATGGATGCTTACTGGGTTGTCTTCTCCAATAATCCACTTTCTACAAGAAAGGACTGAAAGCGACATTTCTTTCACATATGCTAAAAAGATCAACTTCCTTCTGTATGTTAAGGACTGCCTTTATTCCAGGAAAGAACAGTCCACTAGGATAGTTACAGATCAGAAAACCCCTTGTGCCAGTGGGCAGCATCAAGCTATGCACACGTGCAGTGATTATGTTCCACGTAAGTGGATGAACTACAAACTG